AGCCGGATTCGAAGCGCAATGCTACACTACCGCTCGTCAAACAGACACACAAGCATACTCACACACACAGACACACACAAGCATACTCACACACACAGACACACACAAGCATACTCACACAGACACACACAAGCATACTCACACAGACACACAAGCATACTCACACACACAGACACACACAAGCATACTCACACACACAGACACACACAAGCATACTCACACAGACACACACAAGCATACTCACACAGACACACAAGCATACTCACACACACAGACACACACAAGCATACTCACACACACACAAGCATACGCACACATAGACACACACAAGCATACGCACACGCACAAATACACACAGACACACACAAGCATACGCACACACACAAATACACACAGACACACACAAGCATATGCACACACACAAATACACACAGACACACACAAGCATATGCACACACACAAATACACACAGACACACACAAGCATACGCACACGCACAAATACACACAGACACACACAAGCATACGCACACGCACAAATACACACAGACACACAAATACACACAGACACACACAAGCATATGCACACACACAAATACACACAGACACACACAAGCATACGCACACACATCCACAAATACACACAGACACAAGACAAAAGCCACACACGCAGACAAGCACACACACACACACCTACAAACATCCGTCGTTGCACGTCGTGGCCTTTAGGAACAAATGCCGACTAAAGGTCGGCAGGGCACACGAGGGGGTTGCGAAGAGGCAGCATCACGCCCGGCCGCCTTTGTCTTTCTCAAAGGCAATGTTTACGTTTACACACCGCACCAATGTGACTCATCTCTTGGGCTGAATCGTGGGGTGGGTGCGGCCAGTACTAGGCACGGCCGCCTTTGTCTCCCCAACGCAGACGTTTGCACACCGAACCAGGTTTCTCAATTATGGTCAAGTCAACCCAGTGGAGGCCCAGGACCAGGTTGATATGTTCGTCACTGGTGTTGTCCGTGAATGAGAATCGAACTCGGGTCGCTGGGTTCGTAGCGCAGGGCGCGAACCACTACACGACGCTCCTCCTGTTCCCCAAAGACACAGACGAACCCACACACGCGTGCGTGCGTTCTGACTGTGAGTACAAGCTGCTCAAGCCAGTCCCGAGTCGAGGGTATGGCTCAACGCGTCGCTCGAACGCGCGCTAATCATACAAGACACGCAGCAGCAGCAATTACAACGTTACGAGGGTTTTTTTTCTTCTTCATATGAACGCAAACTCGTTTGGTTGGAAGTATTTTTCCTTAGCAATCTGGCCGATAGATAACTAGACGAAAAAATTGGCATTTTTGGCCAGTTTGGTACTGTTGTTGGTGAGTTATGTGGTGAGTTTAGTTTCGCTGATGATGAGACGTGTCGTGGATTTAGTAATGGTGCTGGTGGGCTATGTGGTGAGTTTGGTACTGGTGAGCAGTGTGGTGAGTTTAGTACTGATGTTGGTGAGATATTCGGTGAGTTTAGTGGTGGTGAGCAGTGTGGTGAGATTAGTATTGGTGTTGGTGAGATATTCGGTGAGTTTAGTGGTGGTGAGCTATGTGGTGAGTTTAGTACTGGTGTTGGTGAGATATTCGGTGAGTTTAGTGCTGGTAAGCTATGTGGTGAGTTTATAATTGGTGAGCAGTGTGGTGAGTGTCGTCGCGATTCGTGTTGGGGGGGGGGGGGGGGAGGAGGGTTGTTTTAGTGAGGCCATGAGCAACTCCCACGGCCAGACGGTGATGGGGGTCCAAATTTGTCCCGGGCACACCACGAGGTGGGCCAGCGGACCCGGCTCACCACGAGGTGGGCCAGCGGACCCGGCACACCACGAGGTGGGCCAGCGGACCCGGCACACCACGAGGTGGGCCAGCGGACCCGGCACACCACGAGGTGGGCCAGCGGACCCGGCACACCACGAGGTGGGCCAGGGCTCGAGCCCCTGTGGCGTGAGGCGCCGCACCACCGCACGGCCGTCCAGGAGCCGCGCGTCATCGCGTTTGCCAAGACCCTGAGCCCGATCCGCGTGCGAGTTACAGCTCCTTGGAGGCGATGTTGTTTTCGGTTGTGGCCATAATCATCATCGTCGTCGTCAACCATTAGAATTCCACCAAACAATCATCATTACCATCATCAATCATCCCTCTACCAGTCTCACAAACGCACACACACATTATCAAGCATCATCCTTATGAGGCCGGTGAAACTTTGCCACCAAATGAGGCAGCACCGATTGGTGTGAAAATAATACAGTGTATGACCTCTGTACAGACTAATCCGTGGCATAGTAACGTGGAATTACCACCGCTAAACGAGGAACCGCGAGCGGAGGTAATCTTGCGTGTTGCGGGTCAGTGTCTTGCTGTGCCCGTATGTGTGCGTGTATGTGGCCCACTCAGCCCCAAATGAGTACCTGGTGCGGTGTAAACATCGCCACTAGGGAGACAAAGGCGGCCGGGCGTGGTGTTGGCCACCCACCCCCTCGTGTGTCGTTCCTGCCTTCATTGTTACTCGCTCACAGCACTTGCCCCAAGAGTCTGTTACAGGCTACACGGGATTCTGTCTGCGTGTTTTGGATATGTGTGATTGCCTGTAATGTGGAGTTGAAAATCACTTTACGAATGATGTCCAAAGGGCATTCGAAAAATTCACACGCGAGATACGAACGCGGGCGGTTGAGCAAACTTACGAGCGTGTATGAGGGTGTCTGTGGCTGAGTGTGAACGTGCGTGTGAGGGGTGACTGTGGCTGAGTGTGAACGTGCGTGAGTGTGAGAGAGTGACTGTGGCTGAGTGTGAACGTGCGTGAGTGTGAGGGGTGTCTGTGGCTGAGTGCGAACGTGCGTGAGTGTGAGGGGTGTCTGTGGCTGAGTGTGACCGTGCGTGAGTGTGAGGTGTGTCTGTGGCTGAGTGTGAACGTGCGTGAGTGTGAGGGGTGTCTGTGGCTGAGTGTGACGTGCGTGAGTGTGAGTGAGTGACTATGGCTGAGTGGGAACGTGCGTGAGTGTGAGAGAGTGACTGTGGCTGAGTGTGAACGTGCGTGAGTATGAGAGAGTGACTGTGGCTGAGTGTGAACGTGCTTGAGTGTGAGAGAGTGACTGTGGCTGAGTGTGAACGTGCGTGAGAGGGTGTCTGTGGCTGAGTGTGAACGTGCGTGAGTGTGAGGGGTGTCTGTGGCTGAGTGTGAACGTGCGTGAGTGTGAGAGAGTGACTGTGGCTGAGTGTGAACGTGCGTGAGTGTGACAGAGTGACTGTGGCTGAGTGTGAACGTGCGTGAGTGTGAGGGGTGTCTGTGGCTGAGTGTGAACGTGCGTGAGTGTGAGAGAGTGACTGTGGCTGAGTGTGAACGTGCGTGTATGAGGGTGTCTGTGGCTGAGTGTGAACGTGCGTGAGTGTGAGGGGTGTCTGTGGCTGAGTGTGAACGTGCGTGAGTGTGAGAGAGTGACTGTGGCTGAGTGTGAACGTGCGTGAGTGTGAGAGAGTGACTGTGGCTGAGTGTGAACGTGCGTGAGAGAGTGTCTGTGGCTGAGTGTGAAGGTGCGTGAGTGTGAGGGGTGTCTGTGGCTGAGTGTGAACGTGCGTGAGTGTGAGGGGTGTCTGTGGCTGAGTGTGAACGTGCGTGAGTGTGAGAGAGTGACTGTGGCTGAGTGTGAACGTGCGTGAGTGTGAGAGAGTGACTGTGGCTGAGTGTGAACGTGCGTGTATGAGGGTGTCTGTGGCTGAGTGTGAACGTGCGTGAGTGTGAGAGAGTGACTGTGGCTGAGTGGGAACGTGCGTGAGTGTGAGAGAGTGTCTGTGGCTGAGTGGGAACGTGCGTGAGTGTGAGTGAGTGACTATGGCTGAGTGGGAACGTGTGTGAGTGTGAGAGAGTGACTGTGGCTGAGTGTGAACGTGCGTGAGTGTGAGAGAGTGACTGTGGCTGAGTGTGAAGGTGCGTGAGTGTGAGAGAGTGTCTGTGGCTGAGTGTGAACGTGTGTGAGTGTGAGGGGTGTCTGTGGCTGAGTGTGAACGTGCGTGAGTGACTGTGGCTGAGTGTGAACGTGCGTGAGTGACTGTGGCTGAGTTAGCGCTACGCTGCGCTACGAACCTGACCACCCGGATTCGATTCACGCTCACGGCGAACACCAGTGACGATTATCTGAACCGGTCCTGGGCCTCCCCTAGGTCGACTCAGCCTCAAATGAGTACCTGGTGCGATGTGTAGTAAACATCGCCACTGGGGAGACAAATGCGATCGGGCGTGGTGCTGGCCACCCACCCCCTCGTGTGCCGTGCCGGCCTTCATAGGCGCTCGCTAACAGCAATTGCCCCTACAGTATTCTCAGGCTATACGGGGGATCTTTGTCTTTGTGGCTGAGCATGAACGTGCGTGCGTGTGAGAGTGTGCGAGCCGCGGGCTATGTCAGCCTCAAACGAGTACCTGGTGCGGTGTGGAAATGTCTAAACTAGGGAGACAAAGGCGGTTGGGCGTGGGGCTGGTCACCTCGTGTGCCGCGCCCGGTTCAATAGGAGCTCTCTAATGGCACTTTGCCCCCAGCAGTGTGCTAGGTGTGTGAGTGTGCGAGTCTGAGTGTAAGTCTGTGTGTTGCAGAGTGTATGCGTGTCTGTGTCTTTCATGGCTACAGCCATGGACTATCCATGTATGTGTGCGGCCGTGTGTATGCGTTATGCACCTATGCATGTGTCTATATGTATCAATGTGTGTATAGCGTGTGCATGTATACACACATGATACATACATGTGGCTATATGTATGTATGCACACGTGTGTATGTATGTGCTATGTACCTATGCACGTGTCTCTAACAATGTATCAAATTTAGTGTGCATATATTGATTCATACGTGTGTACTGTGTGCTATTTTCCAATATATGCTATTTACCAATATATGTATGTCCATACCTATCTCTGTACGTGTGAATGTATGGTGTACGTATCTGTCTCGATATCTAGATGCACTTTTACCTGTGCTCAGCAGGCAGAGTAGGGCCAATGCGCCCAGCGGAACCCGCATCTTATGGCCGTGCCCGCCTCTCGACTCATGCGCTCAGGAGGGGGGGGGAGCCACACGGGGGAGTCGCTGGAGCCACACGGGGGAGTCGCTGGAGCCGCTGCCCAGGCGATGCTTGAGAGTCGCGGTCTCAGACCTCTCGCCCCTCGCTCGCTCTCTCCAAGCTTCGCTCAGCCCCAGGTAAGGGGCCGGACGCACGGGGGTCGGTCCCAGGTCTCCACAGCAGCGCGCGCACGTTTAGCGGCAGGGCGAGAGGCACCCAGGCAGAGAGAGAGATAGGAGGAGGAGGTGGGTGGTGGTGGTGGTGGTGCTACAGCCCAGGCGTGCGCTCTCTCCGCACCGCTCTGCTGCTCATTGCGCACTGCCGAGGCGACGAAACGTGCGGCGGGAGCGGCGGGAGCGGCGTCGGCCGCCACCGCCGCGCGTCGCGCCGCGGACCGCGCGGCGCTCTGAGCACCAAGTGAGCACCAAGTGAGCACCAAGTGAGCACCAAGTGAGCACCAAGTGAGCACCAAGTGAGCACCAAGTGAGCACCAAGTGAGCACCAAGTGAGCACCAAGTGAGCACCAAGTGAGCACCAAGTGAGCACCAAGTGAGCACCAAGTGAGCACCAAGTGAGCACCAAGTGAGCACCAAGTGAGCACCAAGTGAGCACCAAGTGAGCACCAAGTGAGCACCAAGTGAGCACCAAGTGAGCACCAAGTGAGCACCGCGTGTCGCGCAGCCGTCCTCCCGCCGAGAGCGGTCGCCGCGCAAAGCTAAAGCTCGGGTGGGCGGTGGGGTGGAGGAGACGCCGCCGCCGCCTCCGCCGCCTCCGCCTCCTCCGCCGCCTCCGCCGCCTCCGCCTCCTCCGCCGCCTCCGCCTCCTCCGCCGCCTCCGCCGCCTCCGCCTCCTCCGCCGCCGCCGCCTCCGCCGCCTCCGCCTCCGCCGCCGCCTCCGCCGCCTCCGCCTCCTCCGCCGCCTCCGCCGCCTCCGCCTCCTCCGCCGCCTCCGCCTCCTCCGCCGCCTCCTCGCGGTCACACGCCCGCGCGGGGAGAGTGTGCCCTGCGTGTGCCCTGCGTGTGCGCCTGCTGACGACTGCGGTGCTTCTTGCAGCCCCACGGCAAGATCCCAGATAAGTGTGCGGACAAATAGACGCGCATTCACCCCCCCCACCACCCATCCCACCACCCCCCCAATCTCTCTCCCTCTCTCTAACACCGACACCCCATCACCCACGCTTCCGTCCCTCCATCCGCAATCCCGCCTCTGCCTTACACCCCCCCCCCCCCCAGTCCCCCACTACCCCCCCCAACGCCACCTCCCACCTTTAGCCCCTTACGTAATCCCACATGGCGAGGTGGATGTCTCCTTGATGGGTGCGTGCGTCAACGCTGCAATAGACGCGTCTCCCCCGCCGCCTGCCTTGCTCGCCGTGTCTCAGTAAACATTAACTCCTCCCGTGCCACAAGATGCTAACCTCGGCTGGCGTCCTCTGTACACGTGTGCGCTCAGATAATTATGAATACGCCTCTCGATGACATGTTCATGGGGTGAGGTGGGTGGGGGGGGCAGTGATTTGCGTGCAGTTGCTGTCAAACCCAGCCACCTAAATTTCGCCGGCCACGGCTAACACGAGTTGTGAGTGGATGACATTCAAACCCGGTCTTGGGCTCACCCCCCCCCCCCACCGCCTAATCAACCCCTGTAATCCAGAGCGTGAAGTATGGTCGAACAGGGCCAATTACCACCGTGGCGTGGAGTGGCCCTCTCCCAGTGGTGCATCGACAAGGGGGCTGTAAGTTATGTTAACGTATTACTCTCTCGTGTAAAACGCGACTGTATTTGTACGAAATTTGAGCTTTCTGGCCCTTGTTCTTTGATTATTTCGGTAAAGTCACGTGGATAGGAAAAAAATAATATAAAAATAAGACGAATAAAATAAAACAAAAACCACGACGTTTCGATCGCAACACAAGCGGTCGTCTTTTTCCTGATGACGACTGCTTGTGTTGCGATCGAAACGTAGTGGTTTTTTAAAATTATTTTCTCATAATTTTGTATTCACTTTCTTTTTTCTATCTACGTGACTTTACCGAAAGAACCAAAGAATATGAATTCCTACAGTCACGAAAGTTTTAAGTCAAACATTTCTGACCCTTCTAGAACATCACTCACGATCGTGCAACGGTCAGATCGCTTCACGACGAACCCAGTCCATCTGAGTTCGATTCCCGCTCACGGCCAACACCAGTGACGATTTTCTGAACCGGTCCTGGGCCTCCCCTAAGTCGACTCAGCCTCAAATTAGTACTTGGTGCTGTGTGTAAACATCGCCACTGGGGAGACAAAGGCGGTCGGGCGTGGTGCTGGCCACCGACCCCCTCGTGTGCTGTGCCGGCCTTCGTAGGTGCTCGCTAACAGCACTGTTCAAGCTATACAGGAGATCTTTGTTTTTTGTAGTTGATATGTGTCCAGGGACCGGTAGCGAAGGCGCCTTGGCTCAAAATCGAAACGTCAAATCCTGGTCGTAGTTCGACTCTCCCTTTCATCCCTCCCGGGTCGATAAAATGAGTACTACTTTGTGGGAAGTCACACAAAAGTTGAAAACTATGGTTGTCACAGTGAATAAAATCGCCCTCGTCATAGGAATGGGGAAGTAGCACCATTGCTGCTGGCTCGTGGTTATTTAAGAGGCGATGAGCCTCACTCTTCGCTTTCAGCGCCAGTGCAGAAATGCTGCGGACGGCTTCATTAATTTCGCATTTTCATAATAGTATTGCGATGATAATTACTTTAAATAGCACGAGTAGAGAATCCATTGCGCCGCAATTGAAAACAAGTTCCAGCTGTCTTTGTCAAACTTTTCTCACAATCCTGTACTCGGAGCACTAAAAGTAATTTGCTTTTTTATGTCTTCATAAAATGCTAAGATAATATCTATTGTGAGAGTTTTTTGTTTATATTCTCGAGGATTTTATAAATATTTTAGCAAATGAAATACATTAACAGGAGCCCAAATTGAACATTTTGAGCGATTTTAAATGAACCGTGGCCAGTCTTCTGTATTCATTACTCCCACCTCTTTGGTGGCGCTATCTAATTGCATTATTATTGTCCTTTAAACTTCTTCCGCCGAATCAATGAAATTCAGTTGTTTTTACACTGAAAATCCCGTGCAGCCAGTTACCCAGCTAGGTTCGGTGTCAACGACCCGCAGCAGCAACTAACAACAACAACTACTAACAACAACAGAGTTATTACTGGAGTGGAGAGGTGCCTAGCCAGCAGCCAGCCATGACACTCAAGGCATAAGATTATTTTTTAAAAGTTGTATGATTTGATATGCCTACTAAAATGGCTGAAGTTGTGATGCAGGGGTTAACACACAATGCGCTACGGTCTAGCTAACCACCTGCGTGGTGTAGGCTAAAGTAAAATCCAAACCGATCATGGACCCCCCCCCCCCGTCTCCCCTTTCCCCCACACCCTCCCCTTTAGCAACCCCCACTGACCAAAGTTGAACAGCCACCCCATAATCGACGCGGCGTGAGAAGGACCTTCATCTAGCAGTGGATTAACAAAAAAGTACTGTTAATTATTTATTTGATTCCAGTATAGACAGTATATATTTATACTAAGCGTAGTTTGCCTTTAATGTGTTTGATCATGTATGTTATGCACACTTTTTTATGAATCGTATCAACGCTTGTAATACTGTTGCTTCATATTCATGTTTATTTTACGGCGTTGGATCGTCTGTACAATTAGTTTAATAAGCGCGTGTATTCATACGGATGCCGCATTCTACTCTGCCAATGTCTTCCATTGGCTAAGACAAAGCTGGTCTCGACGGGCTCTTAAACAGCAATAATCGCTGTCCGTCTCCTTGCCATTGCCTTTCTCGAGGGCTTTTGGGCCAGAATCTTGAGCCGTGTCAGCAAGGAAAAAAAAAACAACACGGCAACTTCTTTCTTTGTGTGTTCGCGGCAAGCCCGTTGAGGCTCAACCGCAAAACATTTCACCGTGAGCGAGTTCGCCGCCGATGTCCAGTGTATCCGTGCCCGAGCGCTGCTCTCGTTTTGTCAAAACACCGCTGGATGAGGAGCCTCCCCACGCCTCGAGGGCCACGGGAGATATTTCACCACCCTTGACCACGCTGGTCGGTGCGCGTTGCTGGAGGTGGGGGACAGCACATCACGGCGCTGGATGTTGCCACCCTGCCCCTCACCGCACCCGTCTTCCGCGTACCGTGGTCGTCCATCCAAGCTCTGTCCAGGCTCAAGCCCGCTTAGCCTCTGAGATCTGATCAATCGGGCTGAGTGTTTCAATGAATAATGATTTCGCCCGCAGAGTGACTCAGAGGTCAGGGACACTGCGCCAGCACCGCTTATATTCTCGATTAGAATCCAAGTTTCGACCAACCGCAATTAAACTCGCTTCTTCTTCTTCGTAGCGAGTTGATGCTCCCAGGCCAGTCACCAATTACTGCAGAAGAACCCATCGCATTACATTTGGTTTCACTTAACGTGGCTATATTTGATCTCCGATTATGGCAATTATAGGCATGACTGTCAGGTGACAAATTCTATGGCCGAGTGTGCGATACATTAGATGAAGAGGCTACTGGAATTCTAGATTTGATGAAGAGGCTACTGGAATTTCAGGCTACTGGAAAGCTGCGAGGGAACGAATTCGCGTGGGAACCCTCGTCCGTCCACAGCTGTGTTCTGAGAATCGGGGTTTCTCGATCGGCAAGATCTCCACGTGGATTCTTCATCCAACGTCACGATTCCAAAACAACACAATTGAAATTGAGAGGGGAAAAAAATAAAAGGCCAGATGTTAACAGTAAATTATTTACGCGGAAATTAAAGTGCTGTAGCCACATCAGGCATAATGTCACTTTGAAACCTTTCGCTTTGTGATTTCGTTCATTTCAAAGGGTCACTACAATTCCACCCGTGACACTTCTCGCACACGGCGGGGGCTGGCGGCGGCGGCGTTCGCGTTGGGAGCTCCGGGCGGATGGATGCGTCCGGCCGCGTGGCTTTGATGACGGAGGCACCACTCGTCCACTCGCAAGAAAAGGTCACGGCAGAGGCAGTGCCGGAATGTCCTCGAAGCAAAAGTAGCCAAATGCCACGGGCCCCGCACTTTCAAGGGACCATCGCTAAATGCTTTCAAGCTATCAATTCCGGTTCAGTGATTCTGTACTTGCTCTATTACTATAGTATTATACCGCCTTCGACTTTCATGAACGACTGGGTGATTAATTTATTTTTCCAATACGAAGGTATTCTGCAAAAATCCACTGGCTATCATCAGAGATGTGTTCATGAAGCCATCCAGATATGTAAACACAGACACAACTTCAACGGAGAACATGGGTACAAATTGAGCAATCATTGCAAGGACGTGATTAACCAGGTAAAGTCTTAACCTGCTGTAATGTTTCCATCCTTCCTGCGATTTTAGCTGACTCTCTAAGTTGCATTATTAGGTTGGATGTCTTTGTATTGACGGGCTGGATGTCATTCTAGCCCAGTCACCGATACTGCGACATACTAGACGAGTCACCGATGCTGGGGCATACTAAGCTCGTGCATTGATATGCTAATCTCTCACAATACAATAGCCACGTCCACAGCCTCAGGCAGACCATCTCTAGCCCCACCCTCCTACCCTGAGGCTGCATCCATCTCAAGCCGACATAAGACTTTGTTTCAGTAGCTTTCTCTCTCTCACCTGAAGACGGTCGCTTGTGTTGCGATCGAAACGTCGTGATCTATTAATACTTTTCTATCTACGTGACTTCACCGAAAGAAC